TTACTAATAAATGAAACTCCGCCTGGACGCTCTTCTGTCTCTCCCAAGCCCGAATAAAGGAAGAGGGTTGAGCATGGAGTTACAGACCCCATCCTGTAGAAATCTAACTCGCTAAAAATACTCTAACGCTAACCATTAATAAATGAAATATCTAACTAAATGAAATACTTAAGTACTGAATGCAAATGAGAGAGTTTATAGAAAGTATTTTATTCGTTGCTTATATCAAAAACTTTATTTATAGTTAGATATAATTACTCTCACTGTTAATGTTAATGCTATGACACGAATACCTCATTATTTAGGAATATTCGTAGCTATGACATTACAATTTAGTGAAAATGGAATGATGATTTCAACTAAGCGGTTCATGTTTTAAATGATTACTGTAAAGTTTGAATATATTATGTTCAATCTACAACTGAACAGTGGATAATCACTGCTTGCATGTTACATAATAGAATGAAAGAGTTGTCTAATATTTTATTGATTTTCAATAGTTTTCTGTACCTGATTTAGTTATTTTCACGAGATCATGATTGCGCACTAATGAGGAGTCTTACAGTAGGACGAAACGCCCATCCAGTGCTTTCAGGTTTTCAACAGTGGTCTAACATCAGTCGGTTCATGATCTCAATCAAAAAAACTTAATAATCTTCACAACCTTCATACTGACAATGTAGAAACTAATTGTCCTTAGATAATCATTTTAAAGCTTTGGTTCTGAACAATAAATAACTTCTAAAAATGTATCATAGAACGTGTTGTTTTTGCTCATCGTTAAGATATTTTACAGTAAAGCTAATAGTTGAAATCATAGAGTAATGATCAATCAAAATCGATTTATCTGGAATCATTAAACATTGGAAGCAATGATAGACATGAATGTATTTCATGACTAGAAACAGTTAAACAAAAATAGTGAATTAAAACAGAATGGCAATGGGGTAATTTGTTCAGTAATTAATAATTAACTATTATTAGAAGGGATTTTTTGGAGATTTTAGTGATTTCAATGGTTAAAACCATGAGTCAATTGAAGCTAGATCATCATGGAAAACCTGAAAGCACTGGACGGCCATTTCGTCTTAGTATGGGACTCCTCAGCAGTGCACATTCATGAACCCGCACCCCCCGAGAGATTTGAACCCAGGACATATCAGTCTAAAGCGCGAGCGCTTAGACATTAGACCACTGAGCCGGCAGGCGTCCAATGGTATTAATGTCTAACTTCAATCAATCTAAGAAGTTGCACCACTGCACACCATTGATTTCAGTGAGCTGATATCTCACAACAAACCTGGTTGAACTCGACTGGTAAGTTCTTCTCACTAGAACTTCAGAAAATTAACTATTATCCTTAAATGCATAATATCCTAATACAACGTTATTGCGATGTGTGCCATTGATGTCGACAGATTTAAGTAGTATATATCATCAATCCAAAGTGGAATGTCTGGCGTAAGAAGATTGAGGAAATTGAAGAGAGGAGAACGAGTACATGGAATGATTAGTGTGGAAACTAAGGTTCAACAAAATTTAAGACAATCAATGAATAGATTTTGCAAATGATGTATTTACTGTGTGGGTGAGTGAGTGAGTGAGTAAGTAAGTAAGTAAGTAAGTAAGTAAGTAAGTAAGTAAATAAGTGAAAAATTTGGAAGATGCAAACACCTTTACATATCTGATTAGCATCATTGATGAACAGGGTGGATCTGATGCAGAGGTGAATGCGCTGATCGGCAAAGCAAGAGCCACATATTTACAACTAAACAATATCTGGAACTAAAAACAACTGTCAACCAACATTAAAGTCACAATTTTCAATACAAATATTAAGACAGTTCTACTGTATGTTGCGGAAACTTGGAGAACCACTAAATCCATCATCTAGAAGATACAAGTTTTTATCAATAGTTGTCTACACAAATACTTCGGATCCGTTTGCCAGACACTATCAGCAAGAAGCTACTATGGGATAGAACAAAGCAGATTCCAGTGAAGTAAGAAATCAGGAATAGGCTCTGGAAGTGGATATGACACACATTGACGAAATCACCGAACTGTGTCACAAGTCATGCTCTCACTTGAAATCCTCGAAATGAGGGAGGAGAAGAGGAAGAGCAAAGAACACATCACTTGGAGAAACGGAGACAGACATAAGAAGAGTGAACAACTATTGGATAGAACTTAAAAATAAGGCCCATGACAGAGTGATTTGGAAAATGATGGTCAACGGCCTATGCTCAATCAGAGGTAACAGGCGCAAATAAGTAAGTAACTGCAAAATTGGTAAGTTGTTCGAGGCATTCGAATGTTATTTTTCAGAAATGTATAAATATATGAATTGAAAAATATATCTGAATGAATATAAACATTGCATATGTACAGTTTGTATTTATAAAAGAAATTATTTCAATTTGCATTTTGATTACAGTGAGTCTCATTGGTGGAATGTGTAAGAACTGCGATTAAGTATTGCGTTTCAATTTATTACAAATTTGGTGGATATTATAGTAATGTTAATAGTCAAGATCATGAGTCAATTGAAACAATGACCAGTAAAGTTCAACCTGGTGGCCTAATTTCGTAGATTATTTGAAGTTGCACAATAACACTTGTGGATACCGGCTCAGTGGTTTGGAGGTTAACCGTTCACACGTGACACCGATAGGTCTTGGGTCCAAATTTCGAGAGGTGAGATCGTGAATGAGCAGTGTTGAGGAGTTCCACAATAGGAAGAAACACCGTCCAGTGCTTTCAGGTTTTCCATTCTTGTATAACTTCAATTGACTCATGATCCCAACTAATAAAATCTCCTATTTATATTAAGTATGCTTTATGGATACAACAAATGAAATGATGATAAATAATTGCATTCTAAAGAAATATAATAAAAGGAAATTAAAATTGTCAAAGTGAACCAACGCCTAAAAAAAATCAATCATGCTTACTGATTGATCAATATTTTTACTAATTAAGCATTAATATCATAATGTTCTTTATGATACATGAACCCTCGTTAGTTTTATCAACATTTAAACTTGGATGAATTATAAATTTTAATAGTTGAATTCATGAGTCAATGTAAGCTAGGCCGCCATTTACTCCTCAGCAGTGCGTGTACACGATCATACACATGAAGGCTTAGCCTCAAAGCCATTGAGCCGTCATTCAATGGTGTAAATATCTAGCTTCCATTGATCCACAAATGGCTGCTCAACCATTCATCCCTTGTCTCAGGTAGATATCTTTCTCTATCCAACACAGATTAAACTCTAGTGGTCACGGTTTCTCATTAGAACTCCAGGAAATCATCTTGATAATGGATGAATGGTTGCGCAGCTATTTATGGATTGATGAACTCTAGACCTTAACATCGTTAGATGCCAGCTCATTAGTCTAGAGGTTAAGCGTTCGCGTGAGAGATCGTGAACGCGCACTGTTGATAAGTAAATGGTGGTCTAACTTACATCAACTCATGAATTCAACTTTTAAAATTACTACAATCTCCACAAACCCCATTCTGATCAAAATTATAAGTTATTATTACTGATTTGTTATAAAATCCAATTAAAAATATTGAACAAAGTACATGTCAAACTACGTTTCATTATTAATTGATCAGGCCTAGATCAAGGTCATCATATCATTTTTGAAAATAAAGGTTTTTAATCATAAAAATATGCTCAAATTATTTATATTATATTAAATATATCAATAGTTTATTAATCATAATCAATGTAGACAGGAATAATGTCAGTAAATAGATTGGTATTGACTTAGGGTAAAAGCTATGTTAATTATTATTGAATATTATCATCAACCGCCTACTATGGAACAGAACAAACCGAATTTTAGCTGAGGAGGGAGTTAGAAAAGGGACATTGGAAGTGCATAGGACGCAGATTGAGGAACTCATCAAACTGGGTCACGGGATAAGCGCTTACTTGGCATCGTGAAGGGAAACGAAAAAGCGGAAGTCTCGAGAACTGAAATCATACATGAAAAGGATCAATAGGAATCGGAATGAACTGGAAAGGATTGCCCAGTTCAGAGTTGTATGGAGAATTCTGATGGTTGGCCTATGCTCCTCGATGTGGGGTAAGAGGCATAAATAAGTAAACGATCATATCATCATATTACCAACAGATGGCAAAAACGTATAAATATATTAACTATGCTAATTTTTGTCCACGGACCTAGTAATTCAGGATAGCTGAAATTCCGTTTTTCATGATGTAGGGAATATATATGAATATATATATATCAAAGTAACCACATATCAAGATTCTGATTGTGTAATAAAGGTTTATCAATTCATCACCGGTTATTTCAATCTAACCACAGCGTTAATTACTCTGTAATTTCGTCCGATAATAACAATGTTTCAATGACATCTTTGATCATATATATGTATGTTTCCATAGATCTCCTATACAACTTATAGAATGTAGCATCAGTAAAACAAAGTTATTGAACTAAAAGTAATTATCACTATTATACATCAATTTTCTGTGATCATGTTCAAGTACTCAACATGTAATAAATGGATAACACCGGAACTGTCAATAACAACAACAACAAACTTAAATGAAACAGAATTATTCAAACTATTTACAAATGACTGATTTCAATCAGTATTATATACATTTATTAACAAAAAAAAGTAAAATAAACATTGTTATTTGATATGTCATTCAGGAAGTAACCATTCTAGTTATTAGATACAATATGAAAGAAATAATAAAAAAAATATAGAAATTTATAATATTAGAAAGGGGGGGGGAGTGTTTTGTGGATATTTTATAGTAGGTTGAGATCATGAGTCCTTTGAAACTAGACCACTATGGAATACTTGAAAGAAGAATGAAAACAATGTACCTAAAAAGCATCTGTTTTTTGTTTTGTTTGTTAAAAAACGTTATTTCACATGATTACTTATTATAATGTTGTATATGTGTATAATTTTCCACTTCATTACTCATTAAAATATTAACTCAATTGATTATATTGCAGTGGTGATGATGATGATGATGATGATGATGATGATGATGATGATGATGATGATGATGATGATGATGATGATGATGATGATGATGATGATGATGATGATGATGATGATGATGATGATGATGATGATGATGATGATGATGATGATGATGATGATGATGATGATGATGATGATGATGATGATGATGATGATGATGATGATGATGATGATGATGATGATGATGATGATGATGATGATGATGATGATGATGATGATGATGATGATGATGATGATGATGATGATGATGATGATGATGATGATGATGCTGATGATGATGATGATGATGATGATGATGATGATGATGATGATGATGATGATGATGATGATGATGATGATGATGATGATGATGATGATGATGATGATGATGATGATGATGATGATGATGATGATGATGATGATGATGATGATGATGATGATGATGATGATGATGATGATGATGATGATGATGATGATGATGATGATGATGATGATGATGATGATGATGATGATGATGATGATGATGATGATGATGATGATGATGATGATGATGATGATGATGATGATGATGATGATGATGATGATGATGATGATGATGATGATGATGATGATGATGATGATGATGATGATGATGATGATGATGATGATGATGATGATGATGATGATGATGATGATGATGATGATGATGATGATGATGATGATGATGATGATGATGATGATGATGATGATGATGATGATGATGATGATGATGATGATGATGATGATGATGATGATGATGATGATGATGATGATGATGATGATGATGATGATGATGATGATGATGATGATGATGATGATGATGATGATGATGATGATGATGATGATGATGATGATGATGATGATGATGATGATGATGATGATGATGATGATGATGATGATGATGATGATGATGATGATGATGATGATGATGATGATGATGATGATGATGATGATGATGATGATGATGATGATGATGATGATGATGATGATGATGATGATGATGATGATGATGATGATGATGATGATGATGATGATGATGATGATGATGATGATGATGATGATGATGATGATGATGATGATGATGATGATGATGATGATGATGATGATGATGATGATGATGATGATGATGATGATGATGATGATGATGATGATGATGATGAGATGATGATGATGATGATGATGATGATGATGATGATGATGATGATGATGATGATGATGATGATGATGATGATGATGATGATGATGATGATGATGATGATGATGATGATGATGATGATGATGATGATGATGATGATGATGATGATGATGATGATGATGATGATGATGATGATGATGATGATGATGATGATGATGATGATGATGATGATGATGATGATGATGATGATGATGATGATGATGATGATGATGATGATGATGATGATGATGATGATGATGATGATGATGATGATGATGATGATGATGATGATGATGATGATGATGATGATGATGATGATGATGATGATGATGATGATGATGATGATGATGATGATGATGATGATGATGATGATGATGATGATGATGATGATGATGATGATGATGATGATGATGATGATGATGATGATGATGATGATGATGATGATGATGATGATGATGATGATGATGATGATGATGATGATGATGATGATGATGATGATGATGATGATGATGACATAAAAAAATGAAACTTATTTTTATTGAAATATATCATGGATTCATAAATTAAAAGAATACTAGTCTTAAATATGTGGGTAAATAAAGAATTCTTCATCAAGTTGTATTAATTAGTCAGATTTTATGGCTTAAAAAGTAAGATGATATTAGCTGAAACCAGTTCTTTCACACAAATGTATTCACTCCGTATCTTGGTCAACATTCAAAGTGAACCACTATCCACTGTGAAGTTTTGTTACTTCATGTTAAACTATTTCCCTTTTCACTTGATTAATATCATGTTGTTTCGATTTCTTAGTATTCTGTCTAATTTCATTTCTAAAGTTAACATGAACTAATTTAAACTTGAATGGATCGAAATTTCTGTCCCTTGATGAATTTCGATAGAACAATTATAAGACGGAGTTGATTTGAAAAATGTGATTTATTTGCTCTATACATTTCGAACACTCTGATCACACATATACTTGTCAGGGCATCTTATATGAAAGTAATTCAAGGGTAATTAAATGGAAGTTCAAGTAAAAAAAGTAACAGAGGGGAGAGAAACATTTTTACATCATGTAGAAAGAAAAGGAAATTGTCGAGTTATCCTAAGTCATAGAATGACTTGAAGATTATCATGGTAAATTCAAGGTTACGGCTAATTGTTTTTGTACATATGAGGGGGTTTAAATTTACAAATAGCCAAAGTTTCAATAAACCTGAGAATTCGTCTTTGATGAATTATCTAAAAGTGAATCATTATGATAAAATGCTAGAGACTGACATATCTGCTGGAGATGATGGAATGTATCTATCCTCGTACATCCTAATCTATTTAATTACCAGGAGAGTTGTAACTATTTCATATTCTTTCTACTAAGAAAGTAATGTAAACTAACTTACTTTTCTCTCTTGCCACATTCCATATGTTATGTAAGTGCATTTATTTTCTTCATTTGCTACATCATTTAAAGAATTTTATTTAAACCATTATGGTAAATGCGGTTGAATTTCATTAAGATCTACCTTGATATTTTAATGTGATCTGTTAATTTATTCGAGAAGTAACGGATGGCTAGTTAATTGTAATTTCAAACTACATACATTCCTCAATATGAAAAAGAATGACCAGCTAAAAAGTACCATTTTTTGTTCAGTTATACAACCAATACATGAGTTGGAGAATGCCAGTCGGCGGCCTATGTTCCACTGGGAGCAACAGACGTAAGTAAGTAAGTAAGTAACATGTAATATTTCCATATTTATGACAGTTTATTCTGAAAAAAAATCTAAATTTATTAAAGGGAAGAAAAAACTCAGTTTCTTATGGTTTTTGCAATCTATTTTCTTCAATCTTGTAAATTTTTATATTTATTTATTTGAACATGTAAATATTGGTACAAAGGAGCACCGAATAGATATAAACCACATAAGTTACTCGATCTGTGTATGGTCTGTGATACTACCCGTGCGCTCAAACCAAAGCAGACCTAAAGGTCTAATCCACAAGGCAATGGAGCAATGTTAGGAGATGTAGTCCCATGGTAGCTGGTGACCAACAATTGGTTCATATGTCATTTTTTCCTTCAGGATCCTGAAGCCTAAGTGACCACTGGTTTGAAATCAGGGTTTTGTAACTCTCCTGGGTGGATTCACCGTGTCTACAAACCTGGTTAAAGCTCCGGACGTTCACTTTTCGTCCTCTCACGTTCGTGAACAACACCACCTCTACAAGAAAGCAGTGAGTAGGACTTGCCTGGCAATGAATGTATACTTGTGGCTATGTAAGTCTATTTTTGAGAGAGGGAGCTGAATCTCCCCACCCTCGACCATACCAGGGCATTTGAAGGTAAACTTTATGTACAATTCATCATAAGCGAATATTGTGAAATTTATAAGTCATCACAACGAATATGCTAACAGTTTGCATTATTTGATTTCTTCCAAACAAAATGTTAGATATCCGCTTTACTAGAAATAAATACTGTAAGATAAATATCACACAGTTATAATGGAAATTATCACAAAAAGGAACATCATTTATAAAACAGGATTTTCTATATCATATAACATCGAGAGAAAAATTCAATTATCCCAAGAAACCTGACTAAGGAACGAAACAATACAGCTCCATATCTAATAATTGAAAATTAAGAGGAAAACATTTGTATGAAGCACTTAGAAATACTCAAAGAAAATTATGGTGATAATAATAATATATATTATTATCATTTTAAGGTGGTAAGAACTAGTTATCGGGATCCCTTAGACCTAGGTTTCATATAGATTAGTACTGGTTATCAAGGCATTTATGTACCATTCATGGGAAGTGAAGGTTTGATTTATGTAAAAAAAATATCTCATCTGTTGGTTACATTTTAAATTTATTAATTAAACGTAATCATCACATAAAATTGGGTAACATAAGATAAATTATGTTTATATGTTTTGATGGAGTTTTGTTCTCTGAGTTGGAACAAAACTTCATCAAAATCATCTACCTGATCTACAAATCTTCTCCATCTTCTCATTATATTTATGTATTTCATTTATGTGTAAACTCTATCTGTTCTTTAAAATAATCAGCTTTGATTGCTTACTTGAATATGTTACAGGTAAAGACACTTTCAACGTCAATCTAAGATTATCTTATCCATTTTAATCAAAATCTTTATGAAGTCATTAATGAAATGTTCAGATATCCAGTAAATACTGACTAATAAGACTAATAGTTTTAATATATGGAATATAAACAAACTTGTTTATAATAAATTATTCTTTGTAGGTATTATGTAACCATGGATCATATTTCCGTCATTTTAACTTGTGAACAACATAAAATGAGAATTAAAAAACACACACTTTCTTCTGAAACAAATAAACAAAAAAAAATTGATTAACTGTCATTTAATCTTTAACCGTAAATGTTTATGCTTCATTTTACATCTTATATAATTATATTTATTGCATGAGTTCAATTATTATCAATTATATCTTTTCTCTCACGTGCCTACAATTGAAGAATAATATATGAAATTCAAAACAACTAACTGATAACCAATATCAAAGTAAGAATTTTCAATATGAACGTTAAAACAATTCAACTGCACGGAGCTAAGACTTGGAGAACCACCACAACCATCATCAGAAATGTACCAATATTTATAGACAATTATTTCAGTAAGATATCTTCCGCTGACCGGATACTATCAGCAATAGTCTACTGTGTTATAGAACAAACAAATATCCAGCTGAAGAGGAAATTAGGAAAAGACGATGAAAGTGGATAGGAAATACATTACGGAAATCAATCGATCGCATCACGAGGCAAGTTCTAACTCGGAATCCTGAAGGGAAATAAAAAAGAGGTAGGTCAAAGAACACATCACGTTGGGAAATAGAAGCAGATATGAAAAGGATGAATAACAACTAGAAAGAGCTGGAAAGGATTGCACAAGACAAAGTAAGTAAGTAAGTAAGTAAGTAAGTAAGTAAGTAAGTACTAGCTTTTTGCTAAATAACAAATTAAAACAAATTGAATCCACATAATCTCAGTTTATTTATTTATTTATTCAATTCCGTTATTATGATCATTTTTTAATCTAACACATTTGTTTGTAAATGAACACATCACAGCGGTATATATCCTTGATCCTGTCAGAATTATTGTTAATTTCACAAACATTTTTACAACCAGTATTGTCCATTTGATATTGTTTTTACTTGAATCTCCCCATTGATGTTTTAGGACTGAAATTGATCAGTCTCTTATTGGCATATGTGCATACTGTGCGTATGCCTCAATATTGCCTTAATTTACAAGCATTCTAAATAAACATGGATAGTGGCTAGCAGTGGAATACAGGACGCGCGTTTCGTCCTGTTTGGGACTCGTCAGCTGGATGTATCTGCATCTCAGAGTTGATGTTCACTCTGGGACTCGAACTCAGTACCGTTCGCTTCAAACGCCATCGCGTTATCCACTTAGCTACTGAGTCCTGATAGACACTTGCTTGTGCAATGGGGAGAAGTTTAATTCACTCGATATTGTTTTTACTTGAATCTTCCCATTGATGTTTTAGGACTGAAATTGATCAGTCTCTTATGCCAATAAGAGACTGAACATCAACTCTGAGATGCAGGTACATCCAGCTGACGATTCCTAAACAGGACGAAACGCGCGTCCTGGATTCCACTGCTAGACACTATACATCTTTGCTTATAACCAATATTGTCGTTGTTGTTGTTTTCTTCTTCTGCTTCTTCTTAAAGCAAAAACTTTGTCGTTTATTATTTCTTTTACTTCAATGAAACACATAGTTCTATAAATCATCTACCGAAAGTTCTACCACACATTATGCTTTTTTATCAAAGGGATTTCAAACTTATCTTAGTTACCAATCTTTTGTTGTTGTTGATGGTGGTGGTGATGGTGGGGTTGGGGGTGTTGTTGTTGACTTAAATAAATCTTTTAGACTTAAGACTTGATTGTTCTGGAGATAGGAGATAGATTAAACCTAAAACAAAATGTTCATTATTAACTATTACTAAGCTTATTCTTTGGTATTATAATATTATATCAATCTCATATATTAAACATTATCATATTACATAATATAATTAGCTTAAATGACTTTTAAGTTATGTCGATGGGAAAAGATTTAATTGGTTTAATGAATAACTGAAATATTGTATGCAATTTTAAGGAAAAAAAATTAAAAAAAAGCTAACTAAAATATACATTCCATGCAATCAACCATAAATTGAATTCACTTGGTGTTGTTTTACTTATATCTTCACATTGTTATTTAGGACTGGAATCGATCAGTGTCATGTGGGCATATGTACATCCTGTGCGGATTGCCTCGATCTAGCTTTAAGTCACAAGTATAATAAGTAAAGATGGAGAGTAATTAGCACTGGAATCAAGTTTGGCGCGTGTTTCGTCCTATTTGAGACTCGTCAGCTGGATGTACCTGCATCTCAGAGCTGATGTTCACTCGGGGACTCGAACTCTGTAATGTTCGCTTCAAACGTGGATTTCCCTGCTAG